GACATTAGAACATTGCAATGTACAGGACTACAAACATTTTTTTTTTTTTGAGATTACCTAAATGTTACATTTAACAATGTTATATTACTGTTTTTAAGAACTAACTTTAAGTGAGCTTTTGATGAAGTTAATCTAAACAAAAAAGGAGGGGAAATGATCATGCACATTTAAATGTAATAATTTTTTTAAAATAATAATAATAATTATATATATATATATATATATATTATGCATGTAGTTTTATCAACCTTTGAGAAATGAGAGACTGTACATGGAATATCTGTATTTAAAAAATATTTTAATTTAATTTGTAAAAGGATTATTTAAACTTGTGAAAACAAAAAAACAATTAAATATTAGCCAATACAAAAAAAAAATCATATGATTTAATATCAAACGATAGGTGATATACGTAGTGCCACTCTATAGTGCATCCACATTATGGTAGCCTATATAAAAATGGTAATCATTCATTATGGTATTTATCACTATCTGATATCATCATCATTCTAGAGTATTTTCCCAATATGCTTTTGGGACATGTGAGCAAGCAAATATAAGATATTTTAAGTCTCTTATGCTCCCCAAGGCTGCATTTATTTAATCAAAAATACAGTAAAAACAGTAATAATGTGAAATATTATTACAATTTAAAAGAACTATTTTCTATTTTAATATATTTTAAAATGTAATTTATTGCTGTGATGGCAAAGTTGAATTGTCAGGAGTCATTACTCCATTCTACACCGTCACATACTTAGAAAAATTATAAAATGTATGACAATGGTCTGTTTTTAAGTGTGCGGGTGTTGGATCTATTCATGCATGTCTCTCTGTGTGAGACCAAGACGACGCACATACCAGCATGAGACATCTTATTTTTTGATGTGTCTAGCAATTTTAAAGCCATGTTTAATGAAGCAGAATGCTGCCATTATGTGCTCATGCAGAATCATTAGTCACCTCTAGCATTCCGCACCATCACACCTGAACCCTAATCCATAACAGTCCCTGTTCAAAAACACACCTTGCGTTACCCTCAGCCCGCATGGATGAACACCGCTACCCACTGAACACTGAAATTGAAACATTATCACATACTGCACAGTGTCAACGTTGCTATTTCTTGCACACACAGTATGTCTGAAGAATGAATCCACATGCCGCACATTCTGAGAACATAACACAAACGTTCTGAGAATTTCACTTAACTGTACTCTGTCATTTCACTGAATATGGAGTTTATGTTTCAGCAATGGCAGCAGGAGTTTAATTCGCTGACTCCGGTTTTGTTGCTCAGTTTTAAATGGCCCATGTCTATTGGGAGCTCACACTGGAATAAGATTATTGCTTGACTTGCCTTTTGGTTGTTTCTGAGAAAAAAAATAAAAGTTTCGAGGAAAATGTGCAACACAAAATCAGGCCTTTTTGAAGCACAGTAAGCATAATTGAGCGTAATAGACTGACGGCTCACCTCAACATTACCCCCCCCCCCACCACTTGACAAATGCCATGAAGGACAGCGGGCAAGAAGAGAGGCCAAGAAAACATCAATAATGACTCTTGCTCTCTTGTCTCAGGCATGAACGTTGATGGACAACATTTTGACACATTTGCAGTTCTTGTCTAAGAAAGCTAATTTACTAAGACACAATGAATTGCTTCCTTATGATAATTATAACTCATGATATACTGTAAACAGAAGTAAATAAGCTGTTGAAGCTATTGAAATAATGTGAACCCGTGACCTTTCGAAGAGTCTTGAATACATTAGAAACCATCTGGCATAATTATGCAGATGGGAATTATGCATAATGTACAGCAGGCTACAGTACATTACTCTGCATGCAATCACGCAAACATTCTCCTAGCATTTTCCTATAGCCTTGAAGCTAAAGAAACACACAGAGGAGGTGTTTGTGTTCCTGTTTTGCTGCAAGCACAAATTTGAGATTTAATTATGCGACTTTTCATTATAAAGCTTTTTTATGGACTTTGAATTTACCCCGGCTGTATTACTATCCATTTTTTATCTTAATTAAAATGTTTAATGATTATCTTCGAGACATAGTCTGGTAAAAAGATGAGACTCTGCCCTAGGGTTAAGTTCTTCGGCTTAATTAAAAGTCCATGCAATGATGTGGCCGAACTGTTCCTAAATACATGTTCCAAATCTTTGTCTTCATGACAGCCGTTCATTAGGACCTTATTATCGGCAATAGTTCGAGCTTATTTATGTCACAATTTGGAGCTGTAATTACATTCATGAACCTTGCAATCAGCTGTCACTGGCGTGTTCAGAGTTCACTCACACTTCATGAACAAAGTTAGAATCAATCTCTCAGACAATCTTGCCTGACCTCTGGCTGACTGGGTCAAATGCTGGATCAGTACACAGACACAGTGCAAAGGGGAGAGCAGGGCTAGTCGTCACACTTTTACTCAAGATCAGCTTCTGTATAGACACATACATTATAGTATTGGCTACAAAAAGACTATTGATTATATCCACTGTCAGCAGGTTGATATTTTCTCCCAAATCGCACAGCCCTATTTCAAAGCCAATTTTTTTCTATTGTAATTCAGTGCACAAGACTTCCAAAGTCTCTTTATTTACCATGAGTGTAGATGGATGTGTTGGAGGTGCACACTACCTAGTGGACCAAGTGTGCAGACAATGATCTGGCTACACACAGATGGTGTGAACTGTCATTTAGGACTGTTCTTATGCCACAAATTATGTAATGCAGACTGCCCATAAGCCATCATGAGAAATTTTGGCTTTATAAATGACACACAATTTAAAAAAGTGCCTGAAGTGAGGCCTGAGGTTTTCCCACAAATAGAAGATTTTTTGAAGAATGTTGGGGATCAAACAACACTAGACCCCACTGACTTCCACTGTATAGATTAAGAGAAAAAAAAAAAAAAAAAAGGGTGTCTCGCTTTCTTTTGACAAATGCCATGAAGGACAGCGGGCAAGAAGAGAGGCCAAGAAAACATCAATAATGACTCTTGCTCTCTTGTCTCAGGCATGAACGTTGATGGACAACATTTTGACACATTTGCAGTTCTTGTCTAAGAAAGCTAATTTACTAAGACACAATGAATTGCTTCCTTATGATAATTATAACTCATGATATACTGTAAACAGAAGTAAATAAGCTGTTGAAGCTATTGAAATAATGTGAACCCGTGACCTTTCGAAGAGTCTTGAATACATTAGAAACCATCTGGCATAATTATGCAGATGGGAATTATGCATAATGTACAGCAGGCTACAGTACATTACTCTGCATGCAATCACGCAAACATTCTCCTAGCATTTTCCTATAGCCTTGAAGCTAAAGAAACACACAGAGGAGGTGTTTGTGTTCCTGTTTTGCTGCAAGCACAAATTTGAGATTTAATTATGCGACTTTTCATTATAAAGCTTTTTTATGGACTTTGAATTTACCCCGGCTGTATTACTATCCATTTTTTATCTTAATTAAAATGTTTAATGATTATCTTCGAGACATAGTCTGGTAAAAAGATGAGACTCTGCCCTAGGGTTAAGTTCTTCGGCTTAATTAAAAGTCCATGCAATGATGTGGCCGAACTGTTCCTAAATACATGTTCCAAATCTTTGTCTTCATGACAGCCGTTCATTAGGACCTTATTATCGGCAATAGTTCGAGCTTATTTATGTCACAATTTGGAGCTGTAATTACATTCATGAACCTTGCAATCAGCTGTCACTGGCGTGTTCAGAGTTCACTCACACTTCATGAACAAAGTTAGAATCAATCTCTCAGACAATCTTGCCTGACCTCTGGCTGACTGGGTCAAATGCTGGATCAGTACACAGACACAGTGCAAAGGGGAGAGCAGGGCTAGTCGTCACACTTTTACTCAAGATCAGCTTCTGTATAGACACATACATTATAGTATTGGCTACAAAAAGACTATTGATTATATCCACTGTCAGCAGGAAAAAGAAAACAGTTCATTTACTTTTGTGACAACATGCCCCAATAGATGTTGTCACACTATATGTGGTAAACTTTCACAATGGAGCCTATAGGCTTCTACACAGTCAAATAAGTATGAAAAACAAATTCTGAAAAAATAACAAAAATGTATAAGGTAATTTTGTCCAATCAAATATTTTTATATTTGTGTAAAAACTGTATAAAATGATAACTTGTGACAATGTGCCCCAAACTAAATTTTAGACAAATAACCTTACTAAAAATAAGAAAAGACAAGGGAGGTTAAAAAATACTAGAGATGGCATCATTATTGTTAACTAAAACTATCATTAATCGAAATAGAGATTAGAAATATTTCCTTGGGGGAAAAAGTACTACAATTACTGAAGCAAAAAAATTTAATAAAAACAAAAACTAATAAAAAATGACAAAAGCACATAATAAAATGACTAAAACTTAAACTTAAAATAAACTGAAAACTGCAAATATAAATAAAAGCTCATTTAAAATATTAATAAATATGCTAATAGTTTATAAATAACACTAAAATAACACTGGCTAAAGAAAACACATTTATGCCTTTAGACTTTTGACGTACAAACCTTGTGACAACTAGCCCCAGTAGTTTTATAACCATACTGATATCTGTTCAAGGCATGAAAAAAACAATAGATCTAAGTTAAGTAACATACGCTTTTTCCCCATCACTTTAACTCCTCAAGTTAATTTAACCAATTTCAAATTGGTTATGCGGGATTCAGCCTAATTTTTAAAGTCAGTTTTATATAATGCAAGTTTAAATGATACAGCCAGTTTGAGTACTTAAGCATTTAAGGCAGCAACTGAAATTAAGTTATTAAGTTGAAGTAGATAGAAATGTTTTACATTGTGCAGAGCAATGTGTCTGTTCCAGACAGTCACATTCACAGGAACACTTGCACGGCTTAAACCAAACACATCATCAACATGCTCATCTGACATGCTAATCCAAACATATTTAGAAAGATTATCATCTACACAGATTATCAAAGGAGGGTGAAGGGTCACTTTCTACAGTCAATCCACACATTCTCTCAGAGGAGAAGGAATTGATTTTAAAAAGATCGACTCGAGTGGTTCTGGATTGTACATTTTTCTCTCCTCATTCTGAAGGTAAGCTAAAAAATAATGTAGTAAGATATTAGAGGCATCTTGCATAAACTCTTTCAACTCGCTATAGAAGCTCTTTCGTGGTAGCAAACGGGTCTAATTTACTTCAAACCTCACTAACAACAAAGCATGTTCAACAGTAACATATCAGGCACATGGTGACAGCCATAGCGGCAATCTTTTTCAAAAGCTTTGCTGTATTAGTTCAGAAACTGACAGGAAGGGAAGCAGTCAGACTGTAATTACTGAAACATACGCGGGAAATAATTACAGTTATGTTGAGGACATGAATGACAGCCACAGAGGAGTGTTGAGCCATTGAAGGCAGGCAGTCAGATGTAAAGTTTGTCTAGATCTAAACAGCAGCTACTCTAAATGCAGCAGCTGATAGTGGATTGTCAGGGCCTGCCAGGCCGAGCAAGATAAATCCCATCGCTGCGTGGCCGTAATGGCAAAGGAGGGGGCCAGCCTCATTTCGGCACCATGACACAAAATCAGTAATGGGGATCGATCGCGCCAGTCTGAGCGTTCAGTGGGTATTGTTCTGTGGCTTGTTTTCAGATGTAACCCAGGAAAGTTCTTGCAATCTGTGATTGATCTAGTGCCAAAGGCCTCGTGATGGATCTCACGAGGAGATCACAAAACAAGGCAGAATTACTGTAGTGAACAAGGGGCTTTAAATAACTGCTTTATACTGTACATCCTTAGCACACAAACATATACAGACAATTTTTATTTCAGATAAATGCTGTTTTATTTTTTTACCTTTGTATTTATCGAAGAATCCTGAAAAAATGTACCACAAAATATTAAGCAGGACAATACTAAGAAATGTTTCTAAAGTACTAAATCAGCATATTAGAATCATTTTCTGAAGGATCATGTGACACTGAAAACTGGAGTAATGATCCTGAAAATTCAGCTTTACCATCACAGGAATAAATTACATTTTTAAATATACTAAAATAGATTTTAAATTATAATAATATTTCACAATATTACCTTTTTTACAAAAAAAAAAAAAAAGCCTTGGTAAGCATAAGATACTTCTTTCTAAAACAGACCCCAGACTTTTAAATAGTACTGTAAACAGTAGTTTTTTAGGGACTTTAAATTTACTTTGAATGTTTTTACACTGAGCTATTTTCCTATGCTTTAAATTTTTTATATATTCATGATGACATTTAGTATGTTTATTAAGCCATTTCCTTAAGGTTTTACTATCCTACATTTGGTCCCCATAATGTAAACAAAACCTGACCACACAAATAATCTCAGTTATAACATCCAACATATGTGTTTCAACTTCTGACATATCTATGCAAGCATGTTTCCACCCTAGAGTAAAAAAATAAAACAAGTAATATGTCACCATGAAATGGAAGTTGCAATAGTCTTGTCTTCCTTATTGTGATGTATAGGCTAATCGAGTGACATGGCTTCTCGAACGAGAAAAAGGAAAAGAAAGCGGGTAGAGCGGGATTTAATTTTGTCCATCGGGAACTGATTAGATCGTTGTTGTTTTCTAATTGCTGCAATCTCATGTGACAAGTGACAAGTTGTTCCGCCCTCATGCCTGGAAAACACGTAATCAGAGAAGAGGCGAAAAGTCATTTCAATGGGAGGGGAAGTCATTTTGATTAAAGATTACAAGGGAACATGAATTTAAAAATAATAATCATGCACACTGATAATTTTTTCATATCCAAAACAATATATACAGGTACATTTAAAAAAATTAGAATATCATGAAAAAGGTCAATATTTTTTGTCACTCATTTCAGAAAGTGAAACCCATATATTATATAGATTCATTACACATAGAGTGAAATATTTCAAGCCTTTATTTCTTGAAATTGTGATGATTATGGCTTACAGATAATGAAAACCCAAAATTCAGTGTCTCAGAAAATTTGAATATTGTGAAAAAGTTTGGAAATATTGGAAAGTCATGGTGTCACACCCTAATCAGCTAATTACCTCAAAACACCTGCAAAGGTTTCCTGAGCCTTTAAATGGTCTCTCAGTCTGGGTCAGTAGGCTACACAATCATGGGGAAGACTGCTGACTTGACAGATGTCCAGAAGACAGTCATTGACACCCTCCACAAGGAGGGTAAGCCACAAAAGTTAATTGCTAAAGAAGCTGGTTGTTCACAGAATGCTGTATCCAAGCATGTTAACAGAAAGTTGAGTGGAAGGAAAAAGTGTGGTAGGAAAAGGTGCACCAGCAAAAGGGATATCATAAAAATTTCAAGAAATAAAGGCTTGAAATATTTCCGTGTAATGAATCTATATATGGGTTTCACTTTCACACCTTTTTCATGATATTCTAATTTTTTTAGATGTACCTGTATGTGTATATATATATATAATATAGTTTATAATGTAGTAGATAGACTTCCCCAGCTGAGTTTCTCCATATCGGTTTTAACGTCTTAGGGTGTTTTCCTTGCAACTGGCTGCTTAGAAACAATATATTGTGAAAAGTATTATACAAATAACTGAAATCAAGTTGATTTTTGACAAAGTTAAAAGTTTATCAAAGTTCTAACACCAGCGACAGTTCAATAAAAAGTCTGTCCTAATGATTCTATTCAGCATTCACCTGTCAAACAGTAAGACAAAGCCATTTGAAAGCCTGTATCTGATGCCCTTGGCTTGGACAGATATCTCAATGTGATTGAGTCTTTCAGGGTGCTAAAGATTTCTATCTCTGAAGGTCCACGTTCAATCTATTCTGATAGATGGGGGGGTAGGTGGAGGAATGTCACCGTTTTCAGCATTCTAGCAAACCAATCATCTCATATGTAATTTTAGAAGTAATTACTTTCTGTGTATCAAAACTTGCATCAAAAAGGTTCGGTATCTTATCGTAATTAGGGGGGGAAATGGAGCAGCCTCGTCTTCTTTGCCCCAGCACAGCTTTGGCTCTCTTAGACGATTCTATCAGTTTGTTTCATAATTATCCCCACACTCCTCTGTTAAATTATTCCAATTAGAGGAATTAGGAGCTGAAATTGCTTGTGTCAACGTGCTGATTGACAGCAATTGGTCACTTAGTTTAATAACTCTTGTAGATTAGCGAAGCAGGTTTTTCCTCTCAGTGAGAGTCACTAGTGCGCTGAAATAAATTCACCAAATTACCCAGAGCAGACGGAGCCCACGTACTGTCTTTTAGTATGTTTCATCTCATTTGAAATATGAATAATCAGTTTGCTGTGACTGTGTGAAGACTCACAAGTAATTAGAAATTTTCTAAAGCAACCTTTTATTTAACTACATTTTTTTCAGATTTAATTTGAGCCAACATACTGATTTATCAAAGCCACCCTTTTAAATACACCACAAATATAATTAGAATCAACGCAGCGGGTTCGTTTCCAAAAAAAAAAAAACTCAATCTCTTTTAAGATACATTACAATCAAATAAATAAATATGTGGACATGAGATATTGATATAAATTAAATTATTGTATATTTTATCTGTAGTCTATATTAATTTAAAGCTACTGCTAAGAAAAAATAGTCCATGTTGTAAAAAACAATTACTGAAGCAACAAGATGAACAATGCAATTGCTGCGCTTATATAAATACTGAAGTTCACAGAGGCCATTTTCACTACACTTGTAATGATACTTGAAGACCTAGAGTCCAAAGGTTAAAGAAAGGAAAGAACTACAATCGCACAAAGCATTGTGAATGGTCCCCCTCGGTAGAAATCCCGTTCAGGGCCCCTCCTCAGCGGTCCCTTGAATCGTCCTAACCAATCTCCCCGCACCCTCAAGTTGATTATTTGTATAGAAACAACATATTTTGATGTTTATTCTAGAATATACATATATACAAATATGCATATACACAAATATATGTCGTTTGCGAGTGTAGGAAGACTGACTTGTCATTCACAGTGCTTCATGTGAATAGGCGGGAATTATAGAGTTCAGTTTCCCTATGGAGAAAATGAATTGGAAAAATGTATTTTTACTTCTGGTTTGTGATTGTTGCACTCTGTGGATAACACTGTTGAGCATAATTTGGCTTTGGACTGATTTGAGATCATGGACTAATCTGAAATTTTAAGCAAAATTCGCACTTTGCTATTCATTTAATATTGTTATAGTCTAAGAGAAACTATTAAGACGTTAAAGAGATTTCTTTCAGTATTTTCTTTTCTGTTTGAGCTTTTTTTCCCAAACCAATGAATGGAGCACAACAGATTTACAGAGAATCCAAACACCAAGGCATTAAGAAATAAATGTTTTTGCGTGAACGATTTGCTCATTTTGAATTCATGCTTGTTGCTTGTAAGGAGCCATTGACAATTTCGGTTCTAATGACTTTTTTGATGGGAGGAGGACAGACAGAGGTTCACTGCTTTGCTTGGGCATATTAAAATGTTGATTGTAATTTATAGGCTGTCTGTGTGCCTGTCGGAATCTAATTCAGCGCTCGGAGGAACAGTCCGTCCTCTTGGATCTGCCGCTAGTGTGCGTTTGATTATGCCGTGTGTCCTTCTCTTCAAACAGAAGTCTGTCTACAAAGGGAAAACAATAGCATCAAACAGCTGCCATTTGGAATGGTCATTGTAATTCCAGCCTATGACCTTTCTGACTATTATTATAATGCCAGGAAGTGACCCACCGGGCATTTTCTCAACTGGAATCAGGCCTCTGCCCAATCACTGAAAACTAGGGTAAAACAGGTTGCAGTAATTTGGCTGGAAAGTATTGTTATGTTTTATAAATGTCAGCGTCAATGGAATGGGCATGGTTGCATGAAAGTTACATGAAGAATTGTGTAACTACAATGTCAATGTGGACAAACTGGCATACGAGTTGAGAAAGAACAACATAAGTAACATCTAAAATCTTCCTTTTCTTCTTGTCGTTATCTACTAGCATGTCTCAGAGGAGTAAAACATCTTCAAAAGAAAGGTACGGGTAGCTCTAAATCAATACTTGCATTGGTTGCAATGATGTGCAGTGCGGTCGCTACAGCTCTTCTCTTCCTTTAGCAGCTCCTCTCGTCCTCCATCCACATCAGACGCTCATCCTCCACGCTCTGCTCTTCGTAACTCCTCCAAAGACTCGAAGAACTCAGGTCACAGGGGCTCATCTGGCAGCCAAGGACGCCGCGGCAGTAGATCCTTCCGCCAGAATTCTGCTATTGCTGCGGCTTATACACAGTACCTCAATGCTCTCTTTGGACAGGTAAACTTAGCAGATCTCTAGATGGATTCTTGCTGGTTTTGTCGAGTGATCTTCATTTAAATGATTGCAAATTTGTTAGACAGGTGATTACAAAATGAATAAAAATAGAAACCAGAAGATACTACGGTAATACCATGCTATTCCCCAACGTACTTTTGAGCAACATTTAAATATGGCAATGACCCTTACATTATAGTATTATAATATATTTAATATATTTTAAATCAGATTTAAAAAAAATATATTTTAACGTTTCATTTTAGTTTAAATTTTGTGTTTTTGTCATTTTTATTTTTCTATTTAGCTTTCATTTGTTTACTTATTTTTTTAAATGTTACTAATTTTAAAAACTTAAACACATTTCAGTTCTTGCCAAGCCAGCATCTCTAATTTTCATTTATGTTTCAGTTTTTATCTAATATTTATAATATATTAAATTATAATATATTGAAATATAATATCTAATATTTTATTTTATATCAGCTTTATTTCAGTTATCGAAAACTACTTTTAATCATTTTAGTTTACAACAACACTGATTCAGCATCATGTTATTATCATTTGATACCATCACTGCACCATATTATCACCATATTACTGGAAAAAAAAAAAAAAAAAAAAAAAAAATTCAGTCCATCCTAAACAGGTATTAGCTGGCTTAAGATGGTCTCCTATCTTGGCCAAGCTGGTGTTTAGCTGATTTAATGTGTGTTGGTCTCCCAGACCGACCAGGTTGAAAAGTGTTTAAAACCAGCCTGAGAGATCAACTAAAACCAGCTAACTAGCTTAGAATGGTTTAAGGTGTTTTTAGACACATGGACTTTTTTATAGCCGTCTAGCTAGTTTGTTTGACTTATTTTTCATTATTTAAACCGATATATCCAGGATGGCACATCAATGCGTCTTTATTTAGCATGAAGTCAGGTTCATAATCTATGATACGTCTGCGGAGAAAATATTGCCGCCTGTCAACACACTACCTTCCTCCTCAATCAGGTCAGTAACAAGTGCCAAGCCAAATTATTTTGGTACACTGAAGCTCAGACCTAAAAACTCCTTTTAAAACTGACGCAATAAATCTGTCACGATTTACTAAATCATAGTCATTTACACTCAGAGGCGCTTGATTATATTTTCAAGAGTACGTCTGGAGATCAGAGAGAGCCAGTGAAAGCCAGAAGACAGAGAGGCTGCAGAACAGTAAGAGAGAGATAATGGATAGAGTCTAAGAGACAAACAAGACAAAGGTGCTCTGACACAAAATGGAGAATATACCAATGTATGCACATCCTAAAGCTCCATGGCTTCTGCTCAGCAGGATTGGAGGGATGAATGAAAGAAAAACAGATAGACAAGGGACCCTATTAGCATATATCCGAGGATAAATAGCCTGAAGCAACACACCAAGTTGCATAACCGCTACCTCTGACAGAGAAGTCTATGAGTAATGCATTATTTTTAATAATAAATATGTGTTTTTAGGGAATTTGGAGGTCAAAAGTCCAGTGAATGCAGCAAATGAAACATTTGAAAGACAGCAATGCCTTTGGGCACCAGCTTTACAAATCAATTAGTAAAAGTTTTAATATACATACCCGTGCCACATTGGATTAACATCACAGTTACAAAGTTATCTAGTTAGCCAAGTGCAGGAACAGTGTCGTTAGGTGAAATTGAAGTTGATGTGTGTCATTTGTTTTAATGCTAAATACTTTATATGTAGAAAGTAAGCAATTTAAAGATTATTTATGGTGCTATCAAAATATTAAGATGATTTGATTAAAAATCCAGACCAATCTGACACAGAAACACTGGCTCAACCAATAGTATGAGTTTGAGGTAGCACTATCTGTTTAATGGGCTATATGGAAGGCAGGATCGTTCTGCTCCTGACCTTCTGCGTAGTGATAAAACTACAGTCAAGCACGCTCTTCGTGGGCTCTCGTGCTGGTGGTACGGCGCTTCAGCG